TTCCGAAAATCTTAAAGCTAATTCTAATTCCTAGAACCAGTTAATCATTACCACTGTATGGATTAACAAAGTAAGCAAAGTACAATAAATTACGAATTTTACTTAGATAAATGAAGAATATAACTTAGATACCAAACACTCATGTTTAAAATTTAGCAAAAGATATATAATAAAGGATAATTAGAAGTAAATTACAATATCATGAAGGATATATGCGGAGCCTCCGATGCAGAATAATTGGATGCGGCAGATCCCTTAGTCACAGTTCAAACTCAAATCCGTTCTCTTTAATCGCTTAGGGTAATTCTGCTGTAACCATTTTTTAGCTGGAAAGTTTGGTTGGTTAGACAAATTTAATGAGTAATTTTTAAGCAGTTTTTCTATTTCCTCGCTGACGGTTTTACTCCCGAGATCGTTGAGAATTGTGGAGTTTTTTACATAATAAGTGGCTTTGCATATTGATCTTAAGGTTTTAGAACGCAGTCTTTGATTCCTACCTAGGCAATTTTCAATTTGGTTTGACTAATCTTTTTGTCTATGCGGTTTTTCCAGGTGAGTGTTTTATCACTTATATCACTATTGAAGCTGAATTTTTTTGACATTTGAGAAGTAAAAAAGAAACTAATAAGAAAAATGACACACGCTTCAACCACGTTAAAATTCACTATAAAAATGGTGAAAATTTGGCACTAACGGTTCACAAAACTTCGACATTTTTCGGTTGTTGTGGAGTACCTTGTCAAAAACTGTTGGAAAAAATTGAGCTGTTGGGTGAAGTTAAGAACAAAAAACCTGACATCGCTTAGAATATGACTACTTAATGCAGTGGGTATTCAACAAAGGTCATTACAACGTATTTCGCTTGAAGACTGGGGTCTAAAGGCTGATAAAGCTCAGTTAACACAAAAACTCAAGTCGACTGATCATCAACAATGTCGTGCATTTGCTGATTGGGTCCTTAAAATGCATGAAAGTGATACAGCATTTCATAGAAAAATTAGCTTCACTGCTGAGCTACATATCTACCACGACGATACCGTCAGGCTGCGACTCGGAAAGCAGAAGATTTATTATTACAAAGTCTCTTCATCCTCAACGTTTAACTGTTTTATGCGGTTTATCGACCGACGGGGTCATTAGACCCTACTTTTTCGAAAATGCGGCTAAAGCAACAACAACGGTTATTTGCTTTTAACGCAATTTGGGTGTCAAATAGAAGATACAGCCTCCGTTACTACTACTATATTACTACTTTAAAAACAGTTATCAACTGTTTAACGTTAAGCGGCCATTCACCAACCTTCACCACGCATGGTCCCATATGAAGCAGATAATAATGTGGAAATTAGTTACCTTCTTGGCTTGTAAGTGGGAAATTTTAAAAAGAAATATAAATATAAATAATATAATTGGCACCGCTAAAGCGATTTACGGCCGAGCTCTTCTATCGATTTGTAGTTTGCATCTTGGTAGTTTCCAACAAATAGAGGGACCTACAATTTTTCCTGAGCAACCTCAGAATGGCCGCTGGATTTTTATGAAGAGCTTTTATTTCATGTAAAAAATACACTTTTAGAACTTGACATTCTCTGCCAAAGGGTGAACGCAATTAGAAAAATAACATAATTTCTGTTTATTTTTCAATTTTTTTTTTCAAATTAAAAAATGAAGTGAAAATATTTAAGTGTTATCAATATTGGCATCTCAACTTTTTAAAAATTAAAATTGTATATTAAAATATTTTTTATTCAATTTTTATTCATTTTTATTCGTTTTTATTTTATTGCTGTAAATTCTTTCGTTTCTAGAAATTCATAAAGAAAACAGGCAAAAAGAAGGGTGTCAACAATGACCTTTTTGTTTATTTTTAAGGAGTGCGCCATCTGTTGCGATATTATTCTTAACTTAAATAACTTTTGATTAACCCAATATTATTTCTTAAGTAGGTACAAAATAACTCTGCTGCTGTAAAAAAATGCCTCAGAGATGAATTAAATTATAAGCAATTTAATTTCTTCTTTTAGTTGTGGGTTAATTATGACTTCTCATCATTCCTTACCCATCAGCTCACTTACAATCGAAATACAGGAAGCCACAACAAAGTGTGGTCGGGTCAATTAGCTTTTCTATATTTTAACCAATATACAAAATAAAAATTAAAATATCATAATAAACAAAAAGAGTTTTAACAGTTATCTTTGCAATACCTTCTTTTTGTTTTCGTATGTACGCAATCCAAAAACACATTAGGGTTGACACACAATTTTATAGATTTGCTTAAGAATCAGCCCCAAAAAATTCTATGCAAAACAAATCTATAATATTCCCACTTAGCTCTATTCAAATCATTCGTTCACTTAACCAAAACACATTATTGTTTTAACAAGTGATATTTCACGCATAAATTAACATTTATTTGTACTTGGAAAGGTAAATAGAAATTGAACAAATAAATGAAAGTGCCAGTGCGTGACAGTATTTGGCACTGTCTTCTTTGCTATAAAAGCTGACACTCTTATGGAAATGATCAAAAGTAATTAATTTCAACGATCTGAAACGTCAGTGCTTTAAATACAAAATGAAACTTTGCTTAACATTGTTAGCCTTTATGGCAACATGCCTGATCATCGTACATGGACAAACAACAACTCCTGCTGCCACTACCGTCGCAAGCGCAAACACAACCGCGGCTTCTAATACAACATCGACAGCGGCATCATCATCGACATCAACCACGGCAAGTAGCGTATCATCTACAACAAGGAGAAGAAGAACCACGAGGAGACGCAGAACCACTCGTAGAAGACGCAGAACCACTCGTAGAAGACGTACCACAAGAAGGATCATCATCAGGAGAAGAACCAGACGTCCAAATGGCGGTAGAAGAGTCACTAGGCGCAGAATCATTCCAGTTATCCTTTCAACATAGCGGCACTTCTAATTAAAATCATGAATACATTTCCAAATTAAAGACAGAACTTTAAAAGTTTACCTTTTGGCGCAGCTTACATCGATAGCACGTAGTTGGGCTTTCTATAAACTAACACATGAAAAGAACTAGGCCTTGCCTATTTTCGATCACTTTGAGTGATCACATTTTAACCTCCTTTATTTCGATGAGCTTGTTCGTTGCCAGTAATTTAAATTTCAATATTTTCGCTCTAACCAATTATGACATCAGAATTCAAAAGCCCACAGTCATTGAAATCATGACTATAACTCTTCAAGTGATTAGCCGTTTTTCTACTATTTTTAAGTGTTTTTACAATTTGAAGGTGGCCTTAACGGCGTTCGAACGTATTCTAAGGAGTACTATATCTTCAGCAAAATTTGACGTAACGAGGTTAAGATTTGTAGGCAGATCGATTGTTTGAATTGGATATAGACGGACGTCATAAAATGATTTCTTTTGAAACAGGGGAGCTTTTTAGTTCGGCTTAAATTTTAATGAAAAGCTTCCCGGTCAACTTGTTTTAGTCATTAATTACTGTGTGATAATATGATTTGTTGTTAAATGCGCACCTTATATGTGCAGCTGCGACCGCGGTAGCCGAGTGGTTAGCATTGCATACTGCCATTCGGAAGACTCGGATTCAAATCCCCGTGGGACCAACATCCAAAAGTTATAAAAAATTAATTTAAATAAAAAATTAAATTAAATTTTCTAATTGCGGTTGCCCAGCCCTGAATGTCATTGAAAACATTTGATGAGTCGGTATTAGGAGTTCTTAAGAGAAAGATTTATGGTTCTTTTCGCATACTTAGCGGCGAATATCGCTGACGTTGACGATGAAACTAAGAGATGTGTGGGATATGGGGCGACATTGGAGAACGGGAAGAAGAGAAGAGGAACAACTCCACATCGTTAGAAATAGAAAATTTAGGGTGGAGAGGGACTTGACTTCACTTGGCGTCAAAGAGAAAGAGAAAAAATGACTAATCGCGTAAGTAGTGCTCACAGCGATAGAGAAGGTAAAGAAACAAGAGTTCGCCCCTGAGAAAAATTAAATAATGAATTTGAAAATTCAAGTTTAAGCAGTTCTCAAATATATCTAAATGTGCACATATATGTAAATCTAATGTTATCAACGATGCAACTGAGTGATTAAGGTACTCATAAAATGAGAATGCGGTGGTAGTGAAGTCGAATCATCGCCCTCATACCACCCAGCTTACGTTGAGTGATGAGAAGTTAGAAATGTTGAAGGCATAGAATTAGATTATTTAATTATTTTTTATACAATGTAAATTGATTTTGGATTCCTAAAATTTACTAGATAGCAGTGTCCACCAAAATGACGATAATGCATTCCGAAGCTTTCTGAAGCGAAGACCATGCCGAAAGTTAAAAATGTATTAGTCAAACAGAATCGATTATTTAGAGTCTACAATAATGTTGACCGGCTCACGCGGAAAAGGAATTTCAAACTCATTTTCATATTTCAATCATCTTTCAGTCATCTCAGCGACAAATTGTTGCAAAGTAAGTTCTACATAAAACTTAAAGGCAGAAAAAAGAAATGAACAAATTCAAATTTAACCTCCAAAGTAGAAAGCTATGGTACAACTTGCTGGCTAATTTTTTCTGAATCCTGTTAGATGAAAACTCAGTAAATTTTTTTCTTTCTTTGGGAGAGTAAAATATTTTACTCTCAATTTCGTTACGGCACCCTCAGCACATGTTGAGAGACTTTTGACACTTTTAAGGAAGTTTTACTCCCTGATCATGAGCATACGGAATGCAACTAATATTATGGCGTAAATATTATGAAAACATACAAAATACAACCCCACAAAGGTGTCAACAGTAAACAGCTGTTTTGCTGGCAACTATGGTTGAAATGGTAAACCTTATGAGATTGCATGTAAGTGAAAATGAAAATTCACCAGCGCAGAATCTCTCCATTAACGCAGGCCGCAACTTCGTCAGCTGCACCTGATTTATAAGGGTGACTTTATCGATTTTCCAGCAACTTTTTCATTCAGAGGCTCAAAAAAGTCTTAGGGATGTGTTAAGCGTATTTAGTGCTTAGTATGTAGTGTATGTTCACACTATGAATTGTTATCCGTGAATTTGTTGCAACCAAAAAATAATTTAATTTATTGGACATATTTTAACAGTGCAAAATAGGTTTAAATAACACAAGCAAATAAAAAAACTTATTTGAATCTTGTAAACATATATAAATTTGCCAATATGGATATACCACTGTCGATGCTATTGTTACTTTGTCTGGTTTTCACCATCATAGGAGCGGTTCTGATACTGTTACTGCAATATTATCTTTACTTAAAATTTTCCATACTTCCTCAAGAGAGTATTGAACAAAAGGATATCAATATCAAGTACTCGCTGCCAGCAGTAAGTATTAAATGGTGTAATATACGTCCATAGTGGTGCATACATACATATGTATGAGAATAAATAATTAGAATAAAAAATAGGTATTTACAATATGTATTGACCCAGCAATGGACCTATGATTCGTCAGTCGGAAAAAATATTTTTTTATCTTTATATCTTTAGATAAGAGTTTAATAAACAGTTATGAAAATCCCCATTGAGGAATTGACAAAATTTTTTCCAGCCATTTGAATTTTCACCAAAAAATGTTAAATTAACTTTTAATAATTTCCAATAAATTTTAAAATTATTTTTTAATAGTAAATGCACTGTTTTTACGATGAACGCATTCAATTACATTTGTTTGCACATAAAGAAGGTGTGCTATAGTTAAAGTTAGTTATTATTCTACTTTGTTGATACTTACAGACAATACAGCAAACTGCACGTGCCCTTGGTATAACACAACCCACATCCGTGGCTGCTGGCCACACGCATTCTGTCGCAGCTCTAGACCCAACGCCTTTAATGTCAATTAACTTTGTGATGCAATTTATTTTTCATGAATTGAAGAATTCAAGTCGTGTGCGAAAATGGTTCTACCGTAAATTGTCCCTGGAGCTGGATGAGCTGTTGTCTAAAACTACTACTGGAAAATTATTCGACAAGTTGACGGTGAGTATACATAAATATGCTTTTACATATATATGTTTTTTAATATGTGTAATAATTAGAAATGATCTTTTATTATTTAAGTTAAAACATAAAATTATTGAAATTGCAGTTAGACTTTATTTCCAGAGGAGCCTAACACTCACCCGCAGCAAGATTTGATTCACCTAAAAAATGATATTTCCATTTATTTTAACGTAACTAAAGCTTATCAAGGTGGAGTCGAACTTGAACAACCTGACTCAAATTTTCCAGCCAGTAGAAATACAAAGCTGAAGAAAGTAAATATTTTGGAATACTACTGATTGCCTTTCTCATTCCTTATAAATATACAATACTATACTACCGTTTGGTTGCTGATAAAGAGCTACTCTAGCTCTAATATTTTAGCTTCCCTATTTAAAGCAGCCACCCGGTCGCCCCTTTGTATTTTTGACATGGAATTAAAGCTCTTCATAAAAATCCATGCGCCGTTCGAAGCCGGCTCAGAATAAATTATAAGTCCCTTCATTTATTGGAAAACATCAACCACAAATTGAAGTTGCAAAGTGGAAATTATTTTTATGTATTATTATTTAAACTTGTTTTAACCCAGGTTATCTGCGAATGTATGCCATAACCACAAGAACATACAGTACAGTCGGAAAGTATTAGAACAAATTTTAAGAAATTATTCACATATTTGCAACATTTTTGAATATTCAACGTTGATAAATGATTTGATGACATGTTCAATGCATTCTACTGAAATTTTCACTAAAATTCATAAGAAAACAGCCTATAGCCGAAAATCGTGAAAAGTGTCCACAACTGTCGTATTTGCTTTTCAGTTGTTTTTCGCACATAAATCGATTTGGCTGCTGTTTAAAAGGTTACATGTCAATCTCTAAACAAAAAAAGATATTAATATCGTGTCTGGTGCATCAAAGTGTTATAAAAAAAACGGTAAGTGTGTTAATTTGATAGTCGTTGCGCCTATGCAGAATTCTGCCAGGTTATTTCTTGAAATAGCCTCAGAATTGTATTTTTACAGATTGAAAATGGCCAAGAAAAAGGAACTATCTATTGACATCCGAGCCCAAATCATTATTTTACAGAAAACCGGAAAAATCTATCGAGACATAGCCAAAATATTGAAAATTTCTCTGTGTTCCATTCATACGGCTTTGAAAAGATATCGAGAAACTGGACAAAATATGAACAGAAAACGATCTGGTCGACCGAGAAAGACAAATCAAAGGATCGACAACAAAATATACGCAATAAGTAAGGCCAATTGATAAAAATCTGCATCAGAAATTCGTGCTGAAATCAATGAAGACTTGGATTCACCAATATCGCTGACGACAGTCAAAGGTCGGTTGAAAGAAAAAGGTATGATTGGACGGGTTGCTGTCAGAGAGCCACTTCTACGACCAGTAAATAAACAAAAAAGACTGAAGTTTGCTCAAGAACATGTTGACTGGACAATTGATCAGTGGAAATCAGTTTTATGGTCAGACGAATCAAAATTCGAACTTTTCGGTAGCCATCGGCGTCAATACGTTCGCAGAAAAGTCAATGAAAGATACAAACCAGAGTGTATTGTGCCAACTGTAAAACATGGCGGTGGCTCAGTGATGGTTTGGTGCTGTTTTAGCCACGCTGGCGTTGGTCAACTAAAAAAAGTTGAAGGAATAATGAAAAAAGAACAGTATCACTGTATACTTCAACGCCACGCAATACCATCTGGCATCAATTTAATTGGTGGATTCATTTTCCAACAAGATAACGATCCAAAACATACATCAAAACTTTGTGCTTCTTATTTGGAACGAAAAAAAGTCGCAGGTGACCTTGATGTAATGGAATGGCCACCACAATCCCCCGATTTAAATCCTATCGAGCTATTGTGGGAAGAATTGGACCGACGTGTGAGAGATCTAAAGCCAACAAGCCTTCCTGATCTCTGGGATTGTTTGAACGAAGCGTGGAATAATATTCCTCATCAAACACTACAAAAACTCATCGAAAGAATGCCGAAGTTGTGCGCTACAGTCATTAAAGCGAAAGGTGGCCATTTTCAAGAAAATCGCTTAAAATAACATAGTCACTGTTTGCTGATAAATTTTAATTTAAGTTTCGGTTAAATACTTTGAAAATGTTTTCAAACAATAAAGCTACCTTAAATGTACAAAACTACTGCAAATATGTTAATATATTTTGAAAAATTATACGATAGACTGACAAAAACAACTTTTATTATCTTGTTCTAATACTTTCCGACTGTACTGTATATATTTACAATCTGAGAGCTACATATACTACATTCTTTTGGCTACAAAACTAAATTTCTGCTGGGTATTAATATCTAACCAAATTTGAAGATTTTAGAGCGATCGCCATTCAAAACCTTGGATTACACCGAATAAAAATTGCCCAACCCATATGCTAGTCAATATACATAAGTTAGAATTCTTCCATTACATTACTGTATTTAGAATTACATTTCTATATATATCTACACTTTTATTTAAAAATTGGTAAAGTAAAGTAGGGGATAGGTTAAGAGTTACGAGATTCAGATAATGAATGCTTCGACTTTCACATCCACAAAACTTTATGTGAATCGAATCCGAATGCTCCATTGTGAGTAAATTTAAAATGGATAAAAATACTCCAATTTATTTTGTTTGTTTTTGCTCACTGAATGGTTTCCTAACAATATTTATATTTATATTTGTAGAATATGTTTAAAAAATGCTTTGGATTTGTCAAAAGAATTCAAAGACCCGTTTGCAACTAAAGCATTTAATACGACTTTGGTGTGGTAAATATTAGAATGTGGTTCACTGATATGTAACCCCAATTATCAGGCTCATTCCGATAAGTTGGAGTCTGTTCAAAAACAGTTTTTAATTTTTGCATTAAGACATTTCCGATGGAACTATACGATAAATCCTCTTTCCTATACTAACCGTTTAAAGCTTCTGAATCTACCTACTTTCGCAAGTCCTAGAGAAATAATAGGCGCATTGTTCGTAGTCTCTCGTATCGGTTGAGCTGGTGAAGGTTATTCCTTGGGCTTATTATTGTTATTAAACAACTTTGAATTAGTTATTTATTGAAACATATTTTTAACGATTTTCTCTAAAATTCAAAAATCAAAAAATTCAAAACGTTATTAAAACTGAAAACGAGAGCACATTAATTCACTTTCACACAATAACATTAAACATAGAATCATGAAAAAAAAACTTCAACTGCTATGGATGCGTCAAACTCAAACATCAATCTGTAGCCATAATTTCAATGCTAAGAGCTTTCCAATACGAACTGTTATTTCGAATATCCTGCTATTCTGGTAGATGCCCCTTTTAATCTATAATTTTTTAACATTTCACAAGTAAAAACTACGCCAGTAATAAAAATGGCAAAATACTCGCTTCAACAACGCAATGAAATTGTTAAAATTCACTATGGAAATTGTGAAAGCATGGCAGAGACGCTTCGTAAAATCAAATCAATATTCGGTCCTCGGGATGCACCTTGTCTAATTAGCATAGAGAATAGAGCTGTTGGGACAATTTAGTCATGTGAAGAACAGCTGAGAATAATGCTGATGTAACCTAAAGCGTTAAAGAGAATTCAAATTTCTTCCTTCCTCGCCGTTCTTTGGAATCGGGCATTACACAAATTTCATTACACCGTATTTAGCATGAAGACTTAGGTCTTAAGGCTTATAAAGTTCAGTTAACACAAGAACTCAAGTCGGCTGATCATCAACAACGTCGTGTCTTTGCTGATTGGGTCCTTGAAATGTATAAAAGTGATCCGGAATTTCATCGAAAAAATCAGCTTGACTGATGACACCCATTTCCACCTTGATGGCTACATCAATAATCAAAACCCTAGATTTATTGTTGAAAAGCCTCTCTATCCTCAAGGTAAAACTGTTTTCCGCGAGCCTTTCTTTTTGGAAAATGAAGCTAAAGCCACAGTTATGGTAAATGGATTGCCCTATCGAGAGGTGATCAATATTTTTGATTGATCTGGACGAAGTTTACTTTTAACAAAACGGCGTTTCGTGCCACATAAGCAATGAAAGATCTTCTAAGGGCAATTTTTCCGGACTGTGATTCTTAATTTGAGATTTGCGACTTCTTAATTTGTGGTCATGTGAATGATAAGGTCTACACCAACAGGACGATGTCGATTAAAAACTTCGAAGATGGAATTCCTAAAATAATTGAGAGTAATTTCATAAGCCACCTTGCGATTTGGTATTCGAAAATTTTATAAAAAGGACGCCCATTTGGCGGATATTGATTTCCAATATTAACGGCATATCTTCTTCTTTATATTGAAATAAACATCTGACAAATTATTATCTCAAGAACTTCCATTTTTCTTTGAGTATCAAATTACCTTTTTGGAAAACCCTGTATTATATATGTACATAAATCTATGCAAAATGCTATAATTAAAGCAATTCAATAGAAGAGATGTACGTACATCTAATTCTCTTTTTACCCGTATAAAAATTGTTATGAGAAAATAATTAAGTATAAAATATTAAAATATTCTTGTTAAGGTTAACTTAGTTTATTTCGTGCTCACATAATTCTTATGTAAAATAATAATTAAATACGTTTTTTTATGTTCATATTAATTTAAGCAAGAAGTTAGCAATGCACGAAATTTTCAGTAAACCGAATCATAAATACCATTATTTTCGAATATACCGGTTCTTGATGCTCTTTCTGGATATTTCTAACCGTTTCGAAGACCAAAATTACCCATTATGTTCTCGAGATTTAGCGGGATAAACGAACAGCAATTAATTTTTATTTGTATAGATGGTTAGTCAAAAAGTGCCAAGTTGTTTGACCTTTGTTGATATCGTAAGCACCGGGGCGATTGCACTCTGCACAGGGTTAACTGTTAGTTGCTGATGAATGTTGCTCAGTTATATCTTATATAATCATTATATAACATTGTGACTTTTTGAACTGATTTACGTTCTCTAATATTTCAATTTACCCATCTAATTTTAGATTTACCTATCTCAGCAAGTTCTTGCAGGCGTAACTCCTTCGAAGGTTTCATACTTCTGCTAGAATTTTAGATGTTACTTTTCAAAATCTTCGAGATTTTACGTTCACTTTTTAGTGCCTTCGGATGAATGCCCACTTTTTCTGCATTATTAATGTTGATCATTTGATTGGATTGCATTCTATCCATGCTACCAACGCGGATGATTTTCCTCAGAGCATCTCCCGTAATATGCCTATTATCATAGGTGCTTTCTGCATTCCCACCGTTCAAATCTTTTTCTTTCTAAATTCGATACGCATAAATAATGACTTAACAATTCTAAATAATAGTTCAATAGAACTTAGACTTCTTGTCTCATTAAATTGTTTATTAAATTAAAATCATTTTATCGTAGATCAAAGAATTGGATCTAGGAGATCAATTTCCGGAGATTCGAGCTTTACGTATACATAGCGTCGACTTAAACGACACCGGCGATCTTATTGAAAATGTCGATATTTTGATGGAGATTCATTACACCGGAAATTTTCGTACTTCTATTGATGCTGATATGGTGCTGGGTAAGAAGGGATCCCTCACATTAATAGGTAAATCTCACAAATTAACTATATTGTAGAACTTAATGATTATGATATATAATTTCATATTTTTAGTAAAGCAATTGTCGGGTTTGGCGCGCCTTCAGTTTACACGTGAGCCATATACTCACTGGTCTCTGAGTTTCCTCGGAGATCCAGAGCTTGACTTGGCTATCGAATCCAAGTATCAAGGACGTCAAATGCAATCGAATATTACGAGCCTGATTTCAAATCAAATACGAAAGGCGGTGAGGCGGAAGCACACGCTTCCCAATTATAAACTGCGTTACAAGCCATTCTTTCATATAACTCCAGAAGAAGACACTGACGTAGATATGCAGCCCAATGGGTCATTGGAGGTTAAAGTGTCGGAAATATCGCGGTTGATGTGCCCAGAAATTGTATCTAATATATATTGTACATTGACTTTAGCTTCTTTGGCGTTTGTAGAGATACATCAAAAGGATAATCGTCATGTGGTAGTTTCTATGGATGTGGAAATACACAAAGCGAAAAATCAACAGATCGGTATACTATTCAAGCAAATATCAGAACAAGGAGTAGAAATTGAGGCTGTGTTGCCCAATACGCCCGCTTGTAAATCAGATTTGCGTCCGGGTGACATGCTGATTGCCATCGAAGGAAAACGGGTGCAGTCTATTCAACAAGTGGCGAAAGTGTTCAAAAGTTTGCAATCTTCAGCTTTACGCTTGCGAATTGAACGTATTATTCCGGGTATTATAAGAAATGATGCCATTCTTGAAGATTTGGAATTTTACGAAGATCTTGGCGACACTCATACAGGCTATAGTATAAACAAGACACTAACTGAGAGCAACGATTTATGTGTGAAACAAACGACGAGTGCAAATCTTGACGAAAAAGGCACTTCTAGCGAGTCTAGTATCGGTAGTACTCCAACAAATTCTCCAAAGAAAAGCAAACTAATTACGAAAGCCTTAAAAAAAACCATTACTCGTGAATTCTCTGACAACAAAGACAAGGATGATGATAGCAAAGGAAAGAATAAACAATTTACTGAAACGGAGGAGAAGTCTAAGACCTCTCCCAAAGTCGATACGGATAATTTAGGTGAAGTTGAACATTATTATCAGCATTCGACTATAGATTGTGCTAATAAACGTCTTATACACATGGATGATATAAGTTGTTTCAAGTTGAACGCCAACTCGCGATTTTTAAATGTTGGTGTGTACTCAAAAGGTGTTGGAGAATGCTCCTTGCTCGGATTTGCCAACATTCCAGTGGCTCACATTTTGGCTGAATGCTGTGAAACAAGCTTGGTGCAGTGTTGGAGAAAAGTAGAGCTCAGCCCACCTATGCCGCAAGATTTGTAAGAGATATTGTATGCATTGATTGTTGGCAGGTTAAATAAATCTGTATGTATGTTTCTTGATATTTTAGAAAGACTCATAAACTTTCTAGCCAATCAGGCTTTAATGCTAATATGTGTTTTGGCGATGCTCTTTTCGCCTTTACTTGGAATGGGAATCCCAATTTACAGTCGAGTGATTCGGGAGCAAAAGATGTGATTAAAACTAAGAGCAAGTAAGAACTACATTTTTATCTAATAAAATTTAACATAACATACATATACTCGTTCGTTTCAGAAATAACAGTGTTGCAGATAGAATAAGTAATGATAGCGGGGTATTTGAAACTAATTCGTTGCGTTCAACAATGAGTTCCAGCTCACTTACACAAACTGCACAAATAACTTCTGGTCAATTACGATCGCACAGTTTTGTTCGCACCCATTTCCAACGTGCTACCCAATGTGATTTCTGCGGCAAGAAAATTTGGCTAAAAGATGCTGTCCAGTGTAGTGAATGCTCCATGTGCTGTCACAAGAAATGTATAACAAAATGTCAAAATGCTACAGTATGCGGACCTGTTGATTGTTCCACGGTGCTCCAGCTGAGACAATCTTCAATTCCTACTCCAGAATTTACTGTTACCGATGCTGAAACGTGCGTGGCTTCTGAAGCTGAAGAGGATATAGCATTCGTGGCCAGTGAGGAGACTCCGGAAATAACAACATCGAAAATGACACCAACTCCAAATCTGGAGGTACACCGATCAAGTTTGACGGGATTATTAGCACAAGGCATAAAACGTGTAAATTCAGCAAATAATCTCGCTATACCTGGTATTGTGTCTTCATTGACCGGCAGTGGTGGCAGTGTGGCAGGCACAAATGTAACGATGGTGGCAAAAAGTTTGCCCCCTAGTCCGCAAAGATCCCCATCTCGGTGAGGCTTTTCAATTTTTATTAAATTAAATGAGTAAGGCTGAAACGATTTGATAGAGATGTTCATATACATCATTCTTCTTCTTTTTGGACGCTCAATTGCTCTAACAAATGCTATAGTCGGTATTAGTATTTATTGGTTTGCCGCAAAAGGAGCCGGTGATTTTTTAAAAGAAAGCAAAATCAATTTTTTCAATTTGATAATGAGCTTTAATGTAATTCCAACCAAGTACAATTTTATAGCCCTGTAATTTTCGAAAGTCTTACCATTTACTGAGTTCTGCAAAGACCAAAACAAATGGTAACCTGACTGTGCAAGGTCAGGGCTATATGGTAAATGCATCAACAGTTTCCAGCGAAGCTCTCTCAGTTTTTGGCGAGTGATGAAAATTGTTGCGGTCTAGGATTTTCCTTGTGGAATATGACACCTTTGCGATTGACCAATTCTGGCCACTTCTCGTTGATGGTTGTATTCAATTTCTCCAGTAGTTCATAGTAGACATCCGAATTAATCGTTTGGTTCCTTGGAAGCAGCATAATCTTCCTTTGGGGAATATCAGATTTTGAAGTAGTTTGTGGCACTTCATAATTCTGGGACCATAATCGTTTTCAATTGACGTTATTGTAAACAATCCATTTTTCGTCTCCAGATACGGATCATATTCATTGAGTTTGAAATGCATATCACAAGCGTTGAAGCGGCTTGCTAAATGAATATCTTTCATTTCATGTGGTACACAGATGTCAAACTTTTTATACCATACCAGTCCAAGGCATCATATATGGTTATGAACGTGTGATCTTAATTTCTTCCCAATCTCACGCTCAGTTACATTATGGTCCAATTTGATAATCGTCGTCATCAGCTTCATTTGGCCGACCTGAACGTGGCTTACCTTTGAGTGAAAAATTTCTCAAACAGAATTTGACAAGCCAACTTCGACGTTAAGTTTCATTTAATGCTTTATTACCATACAAATTATGGAACTTTATGGCAACCTGCGCTGCATTTTTTCCTTTAAGGAAATAATAAAGTAAATTTTGGCGAAAATTTTCTCTTTAAGGCTCCATATGAAAATTTACTGTAATTGTTGTTTTTGTTATTATGTTCTCACCTGTATGAATTCGCCTTGTTGCAAAGTATTTGAGTTTTTTGTGAGTACGTCTTATTTTTTTTACGTTTTTGTTTCCATTGAAAGGTTTTGTATTTTTTGAAATAAATTTTTTTAATTTTAGAAAATTGGAAATTTATTAAAAAAAATTAGAATTGGTAGCTCAAAAATATAGCAAAAGTCAAAAAATATTTTTATGCCAGATGGTTCATATTTTTGAAAAAAATTTTGAGCGATACTACCTTGTTTTTTTATCATGCTTATACGTGTATGTATGTATGTATACTTTGAATCATTTTGCTTTTATATCGTAACGACTGCTTCGCATCAAACTCTAGATAAAAGCCAAGTCTTTATAGATCTTCTCTATTTTATACTGTTATAAATAATGGATAATTTTGTTTCATAGAAAATCCTCACTGGTATATAATTCATTTACTGTCTTCGATATAATAACTCAACGATTGGAAGCTGTTCCTGCAGAAGCAACGGAATTGAGTATCGAACAGATAAGCGCCATAAGTGAGCCCATAATCTGCATATCGAAGGAGGAGGACGTTATGACCTTAGCTAAAAATGCCAGCAAAAGTCTTTATGGCGATTTGCCTGCCTCAGAAAGAGTTGAGAAAATTAATTTATTGGTAAGCCTGTTAAGATTCCAGCTTTATATCATACTTAGAGGTTATTGTTCTGACACATATTTTATGGTTTATTTCAGCTCAGCAAACTTCGCATAGCGTTAGATAGTGAGACGTCTCTCTATTCCAGCTTGGCTACGAATAGCACATTGAAAACCGACAATGCTAATGCTACAATGCCCGCAACACAGGCCAGAACAGAAGAGCGCGTCCAAGCACTCAGCGTTATCATGCTGTATCTATGCACCGGATTGCAGAATGCACAGGGTATCGAAATGCGTTGAAATGTAATCGAGTTTGACTTCGACATTCGGGGAAATACAGAAAGAAGTCTGAAGTAATATAAAGATGGAATTTTATTGTAGCTCTAGAGCACTCCTTACTACATTTTTAGTAGTTGTTTCAAGTAGTTAAAATATATATTACCAAAATAGATATTTGTATGTAAATACGGTGCTAAGGAGTTAAGGAAATTTATTATAAAATGTTTATATATATTATAATTTTTTTTAATGGAAGTTTTTAACAAATATGATTCCTACTGATGAAGTATTTACTAATTTTCTTATACGTACATATGTATGCGTGCACAGTGCACGTGACCTGGGAGATGTTAGTCAAATTTGAATGTCAATATGTGTAAAACGATTACTGTTGGAGTTTAACAATCTCCTGTAATATTTTATTGTGAAGAAAATGACAATGTGCAATATATGTATATGTATGTATGTTATCATGCTTAATCAAAAGTTTATCTATTACAATTTGAAAAAAAAAAATGATGAATACAACGAATGTGACGATTATGGAAACACCCCAAATGTCAAATGCTGGGAGTATCCCTTGTTCTGATTTGATTGCTGGATTCCCGAAGGATTTCTGTCAATAAAAGAAAGTAAAATAAAAAAGAAATTTTAAATTTATTACATGAATTTAGGCGTGTTTTAATAAGCGACAAAGGGTGGTGGCGTCATGCGTAATGCCCCGAAAAAAGCTATTATATTCTACAGATGAGAGCGCCGCAAACGGCATAAAAACCAAATATTAGGTCAAGTAAAAAGTTTGTTCGGTTTTTTATTGAATTTTTAAAAAATGATAACTTTGTGTTTGCATTTGTCCGATTTAAGTCAAATATGTGCCGTTTTGTTTGTAAGCTTATTGCCAACGAGATGCCAACTTCATTATACCCCTCTCGTACTGCGTGCCTATTGCCGATTGGCGAAAAACTCAGAGAACCAATTTCCTCTCTTGAGGCCAACTTCTCAACATTAAGCGCGTTCGCCATCAACAGGAAAAGGTGGTTATAACTTGGTACCAGGTCCGGACTATAAAGTGGGTGCATTAGGACCTCCCATTCGAGCTCCTGGAGCTTCTGGGGCGTCATCAAAGACGTCTGTGTCGCCGGGCGTTGTCCTGAAGGAACACAATTCTTCCTCTGTTGATCAAAAATGGCCTCTTCTGGAAGAGGGGCGAACTGAGCGTTTGGCCGTAGGGGAGCAGCTCGTAGTAGATGATTTCTTGCCAATCCCACCAAACTCACAGCGAAATCTTCCTGGCCGTCAATCCTGTCTTGGCTATCATCTGGGCTGCTTCCCCGAGATCTGACCACGACCGTTTGAGCTCGATGTTATCGTAAGTGACCCATTTTTCATCACCAGTCACAATTCTCTTCCGAAACGGGTTGACTTTATCTTATCTTTTATCTTTTCTTTTCTTTTTTCTTTGCCTTAAGTTCCTCAGTAATTAAATAAGTGCTTACGAGAATAAAAAACCGTCTATTGTCGTTAGTTTCTGTTGCACGTATAGCCACTGCCTGATCGGGGTGATGCTTTTTAATGTGTGATGCCACATACTCCCATAATTTCAGCATTTCTATGATTGCAGTAGACGATCTCCTCGTCCGATAAAGTTGACTGCTCAACTTCTTGTTCTGAAGGACCTTGCAATTTCACAAAGTCTTCAGAAGTCAGACCTTCATTGTGTTCTGCCCCAAGCTCATTGTTATTGCTATCCACTTCTTGGCTAATTTGTTCAGCTGAATATTGGATAATTGATTAATGTGTTTTTGGCAAAGCGTTCGGGCCAAAGTTTTGTCCAGGAAGATTGAAGTGTTCGCTTAGTAACATCATTTCATACCGTTTCAAAAAGAGAGACAGCCAACAATATGAAAGTGATTTTTCCAAACCAAAAAAGAGTGAGATTGGTTTTTTTAGTCACTTCAAAGCAATGCTGGAAAAGTGCATTTGTGTAGAGCTTCTTAAAATTTGAAATAAATTGCTGATCCATGGGCTGAAGCAATGGTGTTGTATGAGAAGGCAAAAAGTGGATTTTCATAAATTTCAACTCTTCACTGAGGTCATCTTGCAAACTTGGTGGATATCAATTAGCGTTATCCATAATAGGCAAGGCACGAAGAAGCAAATCCTTCTAAAAAAAATTTCTGCATGGTTAGTCCCTCCATTTATACAATAAGTAAAAAGATCACGTGCCACCCATGCTTTCCTATTGGACTTCCTCATAACATTTAGCTTGCTCTTGTCGATATTATGCTTTTTGAAGACACGTGGATTCTCTGAATGATAGATAAGAAGGGGCTTTATTTTCAAATCGCCGCTTGCATTGGAACACAAAAGTAAAGTAATGCAGTCTTTAATTGGGTTGTGGCCGGACAGGGCTTCCTCCTCTGCAGTTATGTTTACTCGGCAGAAAAGTCTGCGTATATAATACAAACCAAAGTAACTCATTAAAAAGGCTTATATATATTTTTTAAAATATCCAATTTTTTTTATATTCATTAAGAGGCACACTTAGTGCGAAGTTTTATCGATATTTTTTCATATTTTGGTAGATTTCACCTTTAAAAATAACATGTTAAAATTTAAAATTGATATCTTAAGTAGTTTTTGAGTTATTGCAATTTTAACAGCAGCCGCTCGGCAGCTAGAGAGTCGAAGTATTTGCTTTTCGTTAATCCATATCAGAATCAATCTTTCAGTATCATCCATAATTTGTGGTTGTTGTGAAGAAATTCTTAATACTTCTTTTGCAGCATATGTAAAATTGAGCTACTTATTTCTATATTTTTTCAATAAAAAATATTTCAAAGATTTTCATCATTTCAAAATTGAAAATTAAATTAGTATAAAATTATCAAGGTTTATAGAATAGAAGGTTACGACACGAGCAAAATCATATGTTTAATGACGAAGCTGGTTCAATTTTGTAGGTTGCCGAAGATTTTAAAATAAATTTACATAATTTTATCTATAAAATATGGGAACAGTTTGACTATAAAATTCGAAAGTTTTTCATTCTGAATAGTAGAACAAAAAAAAATTAATTAGGAAAATTAATATTATTTGTTAACAAAAATTTCGATAGCTAGCAACTTTAACTTTTGGTGTCATGTAGTACGAATGGCATGAGTAAATAATGTCAAAAATATTAAAAAGTTTCAAAATTGTAAGGGAAAAGGCAGTATTTTTTAAAAATTTATATAGAAAGCGATTTTTACATATTTTCTTTGGCTGCTAAAATTCGAAGAGGTGGAAAAGTGTACAGTGGGTTATTGGTGGCAAATATTTAATATTATTATATTGTATTAATGTTTTCACAAAAATTAAAACATAGATGCGATATTATAGCAGATTCGTTTACCGTTTTATGAATTTAGTGATATAAATAAGTTTTTAAGGAGGACACCTGGCTTAGAACGCTGAAAATTGCATGAAGTTCGCCAGTGTTTTACGTTGCCCTTAAAGTTTAAGATAATTTATTGTAAACAGTTAATAAACCACATTTTTATTGTGATTTTTTAGGTTCACATAGAAGCCTACTACTAATTAGCTGTAAAAAGGGTATCACTTATGAAAATGCGACAATGACAACTTTTTTAATCGTGTGCACAAAACAGAAAAACACTGTTTAGAGAAAATCGCGTTCAAAGTTCTCGCACCCGCTATCAATCTCCTGAGCGCATTGTCTCTCAGAGGCCATTTCTGCGAAACGATTAGGAATTTGACTCTGAAATTTTGTGGAAATATTTCTGAGATAAGTTTCAAAAAATCGATTTTTGACCCTGTAAACCAGGTTCCCCCCATAAGCTGAAATTTCGGTATTAAGAAAACATGATAGTTAATTATAATATATAAATATACATACATTTATCAATGCATATGTAAAAAGGAAATATTGTTTTTTTGTAACTGGTACTTACACTTAATGGCACTGCGGATGTAAGACTCTTATTCATATTTGATGGTCTTCGGCCACCTGGACAATGGTTTAATAAAAATCAGTAAAAAAAATCGCCAAATCTGTGACTACGGTGGCGTTACCAAAAAAATTTTTGTATATTTTTTTTTCTTCATTATACGTAAGGTTTTCCTTTATTTATTTTTAAATAGTATCAAGTCTCGCACACTGTATACAAGTATATGATGAAGTTAGTTCGGTGACGTCAACGGTTCTCGTATTATTTTTGGTGCTACATATACACAGATATATAGATGGTAGGTTGTGCATCGCATCCTTTGGTCGGCTGGGCTCTTTTATTTTTATAAAATTACATCGCTCAGCCCTAAGTACCTTAGGAGCCCTAACAGACATACATATAGCCTTGGCCAAAAGTATTAGGCACCTCACTAATTACTGAATTTTTTGTTGTAACAAATGAAGTTATGAAGTTTTTTTAGTAAAACAGTGAAAATACAATGAATTCGTGATAATAACATTGATATATAGTAGGTCCACCCTTCGATTTAATAACGAAACCAATTCTCTTAGGCATGCTGCGTTCAAGCTTTGCACATTCGTCTGCATTTGTAGGATACCACTCGTTAATTAAGACATTAAGGAACACAGTATAACATCAAAAACTGTTGATGTTATACTGTGTTCCTTAACATTTCGTTTTAAAAAAGCCCACATGTGCTTAATGGGACTAAGATCTGGAGACTGGCCAATCTAACAAAACAATGTTGTTATCTCTAAAAAAAACGCATCGTAGTTGCTAATTTGTGACAAGGAGCTTTGTCTTGCTGAAATTCAACCCCGTCTAAATTGGTATCGCAGAAAATGCGCGTTAACGACGCAGAAGAACAGCTTCTTATTCATTAATGTACTTTTGACTGTCCATGCGACCCTGACAAACGAACATTTCACCATGCAGCCCCAGATCATAATGCTGCCTTCTCCATGCTTAACAGTGAGTACCACGCAATCTGGATGATATTCTTCCCCAACCCGTCGCCTCACCAAACCAGGTGTACCAAATATCTGTAGAAAACAAAAAATTATGTTTTCAAAATATTTGTATTTTGTCTTCAACATGGCTCTAGGGTAAGAAGCTATGGCTGTTAATACTTTAAGACGATCTTAACTAAGCTTACATCGAAGCTCGATTCATCAGACCATTCCAAACGATTTTTCCTATTCTTTTCTGAGAGCCACAGCTTCTTTCGGGCTTTACATCCTTTTAAA